ATAGGATCTACTCAAAGGGACTTTGTGGTGGTCTAGGTAAAATCCCTAGCATACTGTCTGGACACACTGAGTATTTAATAAAGGTAGGGAATGATTAGGAATATGGGACAGTAGGAGCATAATCTCCTTCTGATTTCCAAGAGTGTTCTAACTCATTTGTGCTACATTTCCACCCGGAAGACTTTGTCTTCTTTAAAGCACAGTTGCACCTAGCAGCTCTGTATCATTTCAGTGCTGTTAGAAAAGCTCGCTGCACATGCACAAGAACACCAGTAGGCAGGCTGTTAACAGGTTCAGAATAACCAAGTCAAAGAGATTTTCCACGAAGCAATTCGCCAATCCATCCCCTCATCAGACACGCGCCGCTGTGAGCTCGCTAAGTACCACGAGGCCTCCAGAAATAAACATGAAATGAAGTGACATCCTGCCCTCCTGTTCATCACGGTCTCCTGAGCAAAAGCCATCAATGTCCAGCGAGTGCCATACAGGAGGGCTGTGAGAATCCCAAGAGGGAAGGAGCCACCTCTGTGCATCCAAAGGACATTTGTGGTTGGGGGGAGGGCAATACCCAGGGCAGGCTTAAAGGGGAAGCGACGATCGAGCTGGACCCTAACAGGTAGGTGGGAAGAAGTGTGTCAGAAAGAGCAGGTAGAAGCTATTCCAGGTACAGAGAGCAACTTGTGCAGAGGGACAGAGCCCTGACTGTCCACACTTAGAAAATGGTAAGGCCAGCAAGCCCAAAGGGCCCTGAAAATCAATCCACGTTATTCTAATACTCATGCAGACTTTATTGCAAATAGAAACATTTCTATCGAATTAGGTGTGCTTCCCAGAAGAGATCATCTTATTGCTAAAATAAATGTCCTTTCCTTATTTGTTCCCAAATAATTTGATGGTTACTTTTCTGAGGTACATTTTTGATTTCTGTTGGAAAAAGAGTGACTTCAGCAAGTCCCTTTGGGCCCAGGAGAGAAAACTAAGGCAGCCCGGGATCAGAACGATTTAGTCAGCTTGCGCTAAGAGCGACCCTTTCGTGTTCGCTGGACTACTCCAACACACAATGATTTTGGCTCTTCAAAGCCAGCAAAGAGATAACCCAGGGTTCCCAAACTCAACAGGAATAGGCACAGTACTCATTATTTCCTGTTGCGTTTGTTCCTTCGATTATTCTTTAAGCAATGGAAGGAAAATGCAGCCAGAGGCCTCCTTCTGGGAGGGGAGGAGGAAATTTTGTTCATAACTTTGCTGGGAGATTATTTGGCCAAATGCAGTGACTGGAGGTCAGAAAATGCTTCTTCTTTCTAGTACAGAGAGGAGGTGAGACAAAGTCTTGGCGGCCCCAGAGAAAAAAGAAACACACACACACTTTATGTCGAATTAGACTTAACTCCCATTTCTCGACGTGGAATTGTAATCTTAAAGATATTACAGAGGCAAAGCTAAGGTCTCATGACACTGTGCAGTATCTGTCAGTGATGTGTGGTCTCTACCAAATTAACTATTTAAGCGGCCTTTGTCCAGAATTGACGAGTAGCTCTTTCCCTCAATAAGCATCATGGCCTGTTGGAATTAGAACTATTGTTTCTTTTCCTCTTGGTCTCAGGGCCTGGGTGGGGCTGAGGATCCTGAGTTGCAGGCTATCATGGAGAACCAGCCCTTCCTACGGTTGGTTGCTCAAGCCAATACATTCTCTGTGATGGCTTTAAATGTGCTATGGAGAACCGCACCTGTCAGTGTGAGCTTGAATAAATCACTTCTCTCTCCTAAACCTCAGATTTCTCATCTGTTACAAGGAGTTATGGCAGGGTGGGAGTGAAGACTAAGCTACCGTGAGATTCTTAAAATTTTCTCATTTAATTGATCTGAAAAGGAGACTCCATCATTTTGGTTTAAGGATATTTCGTGGGGGACAGGAGAATTGTGGTTCCTTGAGTTCCCTAGCAAGAGACCACAGTGATTATGGGGCAGACAGGGTTAACCCAGCAGGAAAGACTGCTACGCAGACACTGTGACCTGCTTTCCAGGACCAGAAATATTGCAAATTTTAAACTTGTATTATGGAGGTGTGCTAGGGGGGAAAGAATGCAGACAGAATAAAAGTCTGAGATGAGAGTCTAACCACTAAACTAACTCACTGAGATTGTGACCAGGGCACATTCATCTTAAGTCCTCAGTTTACCTGTGGGGGGAATGAACATGAAGGACAGATCCTAAGAAGGCCCGGATGGCCCATGCCTACTGGTATCCCCTCCCGTCAAGTGTGGGCAGGACCTGGGACTTATTTCTAACCAATGGAATCTGTCGAAGGTAGAGGGATGTCACTCCCAGGTTCATATTACATAAGATGGTAACACTCACCTTACTAGCAGCCTCTCTACTAACTGTCTCCCTTGCCCATTTCGATACACTAAGTTGCCATATAGAGAGGTCCCCGGGACAGGGAACTGAGGATGACCTCTGCCTGGTAGCCTGCAAGGAGCCCTCAATCTGAAAACCCTCAAGGAACTGAATCCTGTCAACGACCACATGAACTTGGAAGTGGATCCTTCCCCTGTCAAGTTGCAAATGAGACCCCAGCCCCAGCCAATACCTGGATTAGAGCCTTATAAGAGACTCTAAAACAGGGGGCCTGGCTAAGCTGTGCCTGGACCCCAGACCCACAGAAACCATGAGATAATAAGTGTATGTTGTTTGAAGCCACTAAGTTTGTGGTAATTTCTTATATGGTAATAGATAGCTAATACAATGATGCAGTTGAAACCTGACATCACGTGAGTGGGATAATTATATTCTTATGTTATCAGCATTACACACATAAATAAAACTATTCCATTATGACATAGACAAACACATTGTAAGCTGCTGTCACTGTGCAGGGTTGAGAATAATTTATCTTTCAAGAACTCCTAGGGTACCTGTTCTATATTTAGATTCTTATTTAATCAGGCCTCATTTCTAGGCTTCGTCCTGCTGATTGCAAACAGCATACTCTCTCTCTCTCTCTCTCTCACACACACACATACACACATACACGTCCACGTTCACACACAGGTCCTACATTACACTGAATTTAATTAGGGATCAACCTGAAATAAAATGGCTCCAGCAGCAGAAAAGAGGCCTCCTCTGAGACAGAGTCTAAGGACATGAAGCGAGAGGCTTTGGCATCATTATTTGGTAGCGTTGGTTCTGAGAGAGAGGGTCAGGTAGAAAAATCTGCCAAAGTGAATGAAGCCTGAGGAAGAATTAGTCTAGTGGGGGAGCCCCATTTTTCAATAAAAAATAGGGCCGCTTGTATTTTAATAGCAGCTAAAGATATTGGGCTTCATTTTATGTACAGATTTGCTCAGAGAGTGAAAGAGCACTACTAAAGCTGTATGTTATCTGCCACATTTTGTTCCTTTCCAAGCCTGCCTTCCTGGAATCCTGACATCCTCTATAAATAAAATCAACACTATGAACTGCCTCATTCTGGACAGGAAAGGAACAGGAGCAAAGTTTGGCTAGTGTCTGAGGTGGCTGGTGGCTGTTTGGAATGTTCCAGAGTGGTGCTGAGGAAATATGGCCCACACACGTCCAGGATGAGGTGGGGCAAGTCTGTATGTGGAATGCAAGGGCCTTTGGTGCTGGTAAGGAGCCTGATGCTTTGTGTTCCAGCGGAGTTTGACAGGTGCTGCCCCGCAGGAGACCTGGGAGCAAGATGCGACAGGGGCCTGAGGAAGTGCAGACATTCTGAGACGGGCACAAGGCTTGGGGTGCTCAGTAAATGTTTTCCAATGAGTGAATGAAGCATTAATTAGTGCCCTTAGAGGCCCAGGAGCTACACTTCCCCCAGGAGTCTCCCCTAGGGCTTCCACTGTGTCTTCCAGGGAAGAGTGAGGTCCACCACTGCCCTTCACCGAAACTCCAGGCAGCACAGGCGGGCAAGAGTCATGAAATGTCCCAATATAATCTCATAAGGACAGGGCCAGGGGCCGGGGGGGGGGGTATGGAGCCTGGGGGAATTTCTGGCGACACCTCCAAAACCCTAGCAAAAGGCTGACTTAGACAACGGAGTTGTGGACCTTTCTTGATGAACTGACTGAAGCTCTAAAAGTCCCCTGCTGCTTGTGACCGACCAGGGGCCTTGGACTTCAGCGCTAAGACAGTGGGAGGCTGGGACGCCTGGGTGGCTCAGTTGGTTAAGCATCTGCCTTCGGCTCAGGTCATGATCCCAGGGTTCTGGGATCGAGTCCCACATTGGGTTCCCGGCTCAGTGGGGAGCCTGCTTCTGCTTCCCCCCTGCTTCTCCTTCCGCTCCCCCTGCTTGTGCTCTTTCTGTCTCTCTCTCTCTCTCTCTCTCTCTCTCTCTCTCTCTCAGACAAATAAATAAATAAAATCTTAAAAAAAAAAAAAAAAAGAGTTGGTTAAGACAGCGCGAGGTGCCCCTCCTTCTTCAGGAGGCGTGCCCTGCACACAGGCTCTGAGCCCAGCGCTTTGGGGCATCTGGCCCAGCCGGGAGGCCGCGGCGGGCGGCTCGCCACAGCCCAGGGGCTCGGGGCCGCCGGCCTTGGCTCTGCGGCCCCTGTGGCGGCGGCGGGACCCCCCAGGGGCGCAGGGGGGTGCGGCGCAGGGATCCGGGCCCGCCTATGTGTGGCCCGCGGCCTCCTCCTGCAAAGATTCCCCCCCCGCCCCCCGCCGAGGCGCCATACCTGGCCCTTTGTCACCAGCTGCCAAAAAATTCAGAAAATCAAATGTATTTCCCGACGGCAGCTGCCGCCGGGTCGCCCCTCCGCGCAGCCAGGTAGCTTAACCCGCGGCATCCCGGCCGACGCTGTGAAGGCAGGCTCCGCGGGCGCCCCGGTTCTCTCCACAACCACCGCCAGCGAGCCCCAAAACATTGGCTTCCCAAGCGTCCAGCCTGTTAAAGGGATACCTCATAGGCATCTTGAGTTCGGAGGGTGTGTTTCCTTTTTTCCCCCCTCGGCAATGAACAGATGCATGAGAAGTCCGTTGCTTACCAGCCCAGCGCTGTCCTCGCTCTCGCCCCGACAAGTCCAATTTCCTCTGGAGTTTTCAGCACCACCACCTCCTAGGACTCCATGGCCAGAGTCTTCCCGAAGCCATGGGCTGATCTGAAAATGCCCCTCTTAGGCGGGATTCTCCGGAGTCTGGGGCACCTGAAGATGAAAAGGCATTACCATTATCCTCCTTGATTAGGTTAATATTTCCTGAAATGAATCCAAAAGAGTGTCTTGCAAAATTTTTCGGTTTTTTGTTTTCTGGTGATTGAGTGGGAAAATAAATGTCCTTTTTTTTTTTTTTTTTAAGAAAACCAACAAAAGAAAAAAGGCAATCTAGAGTAGGCACATGCTTACAACACATATCCCCTACATTCTTTTTCTCTGCTCCTAAAGTAATGTTTAGGAGAGATGGCTATGCACAAACCTATCAACAAATGATGAAAGTACAGTAATATCTTCCCACAAAAACAGTCACAAGTAGGGGCACCTGGGTGGCTCAGTGGGTTAAGGGGCTGCCTTCAGCTCAGGTCATGGGGGGGGTGGCTTCCAGTAGTTGGGCTCTCTGCTCAGCGGGGAATCTGCCTCTCCCTCTCCTTCTGCCCCTCCCCCTGCTCTCTCTCTCAAATAAATAAATAAAATAAAATAAAAAACAGTTACAAAGAGCATCATAATTTGTACCCTCAGTATAAAATACTACACAGCACAATAATTTGAATTATACAGTGTGAAGCAAAGAAATCGATAATAGAATTTGGTCCATTGCTTGCAAATTATGCATGGTATAAAGCTTTCGCAAACACTAAAAAAATAATAATGATCTATAGGGCTTAAGCAGAAGCCTTTTCTTCTCTACCTCTTTTTTTTGTTTGTTTATCGTGAAGACTTAGAGATGCCACTCGGTTGTTCTGTGACTAAAGGAAGCAAATATAAATCAATGCCACATTTGCTAACAGACAGCATTCCTCTTTTTACACACATCTGTGTGTCTCCTTGCACGCATGCATACACACACACACCCTACATGAACGCTTGGCCCACTGAGCTTCCCCATAATTTCACAAAAGAGTAACTCTAATGTTTTCTGCTTCGTAGGGAGCCGGTGGGCACGGCCGTGGATTGGATACCTACACCAGAAAAGGGCCGAGAGGCGTAATCAAATAAGGGAGCCACTTGAACTGAACTCTCAGCAGGAGCAGGAGGGAGGCCTGGAGAGGTTACAGGTACTTTTTATCCAAACTCGCAGGAGAGCACCAACTTCCTGCTGCTAGAAATTTGTCTGCAAATTTTTTCCTCATTCAGATGGGGAGCTGGGGTCCAGGAGACACCGGTTTGATATGATAACTTGATTAAGGCTGGGACAGATGACATGGAGCACCAAGTCGGCTCAAAGGAATCTGTGCTCTCCTCTTTAACCTCTCCTTGGGAGCCTACAAATTATATCTATTAATGGATCAGCCCCCTGGCATCGCACAAATACGATGTCTGCTTAAATGTGTGTCAATCATTCACAGGGACCTTTTGCAGGATTCTCACCACATTTCCACTTCTCTTTCCCCTTTAAAAAAAGTTTAACCTGTTGGCTTGTTCTGACAATGGCTCACGGCCCGCCTCCTCTTGGTGAAATCACTTTGGAGGGAGAAGTCGAGTTTGTCTGCCAAAGTGTTCAGAGAATCGTTGAAATGGGCCTGGGGCAGCTGGAACGTGTCCAGGGGAGGGACCTACAAGGAGGAAGGGTTTGGAAACCATGTTCAATGAAGCATGGATGGAAAAACTGGGGATTAGCGTAGAGAAGAGAAAACACAGAGCGAACTGGAGATCTGAAGAAGTAGCTTAGGGGAAGAAGGATGGGAGTTTTCCGTGGGCCCTGAGAGAGCCCAGGGAGAGACAGGCATTCACAAAGTGCCAGCAAAGTGCCTGAATGAGAAATGGGCCACGTGCTGGGGCCGCCCCAGGCGGATGGGAGGAGACCTGTAGTGCGGCCACAGCTGAGGAATCACAGCTTCCTTCCCTGGGTCTGAGCCGGGAGACAGCCACTGAAAGGGGGGAAACTTCAGCTACAAATACTGCAGGGGGTTTAATTGAGGGTTAATTGAACAGACGATGTAACGTAGAGATTTGTAAGTGTACAGTTCAATGAGTTTTGACAAGTGTAACCTCCACCCCAGTCAAGACATAGAACATTTCCATCAACCCAGAAACTTCTCTTGTGCCCTCTTTCCAAGGCAATCCCCACCCCCCCACCCCCACTCCACTCTCAGGCAAGCACTCTTCCTGTTTCTATCACTCTCCATGAATTTGATCTCTTCTAGAACTGCCTTTAAATACAAGCATTCAGTATGTACTCTTTTGCATCTGGCTTCCTTCACGTAGGATGCTTTTAAGATTCATCCATGTAAGTTTGCTCCTTTTTATTGCGGAGTAGTATTTTCTAGTAAGGATATAATGAATTTTGTTTGCCCAATCTCCTGCCGATGGACGTTTGGCTTGTTTCTGGTTTGAGGCTATAACGAACACAGCTGCTATGAACAGCCTCACACAATTTTTCATTGCTGGGTAGTGTATATTCCAAATGCCATTTTTTTAAAGATTTTATTTATTTTGGCATAGAGAGAGAGTACAAGCAGGGGGAATGGCAGAGGGAGAGGGAAAAGCAGGCCCCCTGCTGAGCAGCGAGCCCGATGAAGGGCTCGATCCCAGGACCCTGGGATCATGATCTGAGCCGAAGGCAGACACTTAACCATCTGAGCCACCCAGGCGCCCCCCAAATGCCATTTTGAACAAGACCGCAAAGCAAGAAAAGCCCGAGGTCATGGGAAGTGCGGTCTTTAGTAAGCAAGAGTTTGGGGATTTCGTTTCTGGCTGTCTGTGTCCTCCCAGAAAAGCACAAGTTGTATCCCCATCCCTCCCACTGGTGAGCAGGAGGCAGACACCAGCACCAGTCCAGGGCAGCCTGCGGTCTTTCATGAGCAAGAATATCAATTTCAGCAAAATGGGTAGTGGCCATCATTCGCGTTGACTCAAAACATTAGAATTCACATCTACAGAGCTCTCCCTATATGCTAGGTCCCATGCATGCGCGAGTTGCGATGGGGAAGAGAGGGATGAATTTGAATTTGATGAGCCTCTGACTCTGAAGTGCTTGCAGTCTGAAAGGAGAAATAAAATGGGTAATAAATTATGAAACCATAACTTGGTGTTCAACAAACACTTATGGGTCAGCTGCTGTGTGGGTATGTCGCGGATGCGGTCAGACAGCCTTAGGAGAGAAAGCTGAACGCCCTCCTCTCAGCGCTGGAAAAAGAGCCTCCCACTCTGGGAGGGTGAGTCCCATCCAGAGAGGAGTACCTTGGGCCAAGGGACAGATTGGATCCGGACTTGAAACTGTTATTTGAGAACCCAGATCTGCTGTATCACCTTGGGACACAGACTCTGTCTATGCCAGCTGTTGCCATGTGTACTCACGGCCTCACTTCGGGTGGTCCTGAGAATGACTTTGGCACTAAGGCTTTGAAGGTCACATCAAGGCCATCAAAACACAGAATACTGGTGCTGGATGTCCCTTTAGAGTTTATCGTCCACTCTGTCCCTGGGACAGATGGGGAAACTGAGGCCCATGCTAAGAGAAATGGCTTCCTCAATGTCCCAGGGCAAAAATGGTTTCCTTCCAGTACATCCATTCTTCTGCTGTATCAGTCTACCATTTATCATAAAATTATTGTATGACAGAGACCTACTTATAATGCTGTTATTGGAGGGATAAGATTAGCACATTTCTATAGTCTCAGCGGGTTAATCTATCAGACTTCGCCTGTGAACAGCTGTTACACTTGGAGAAACATATTTTAATCCAAAAGTTATCTAAACTGTGATAAAACGTAGACCACATTATGATAGGGCCCTATGTGATTTGGACTCATTTATTTTCTATGCGAAGTTGTTTATTTTTTTATTTGTTAGGCTTTTGATTTATTTCCACTCATTTTTCTATGCACAGATTTGACAACTGTATTATTAGAGAATACTGTATACTCTACTCTATATTTTGCTTTTTTGCATAGAATAAAGCTTCCTTACTTTGGCCAAACCACTCTGGCCTTTAAAAACATTGGTGTATATTGTATACCACAAGGAGGAACAAAAAGTTGTGAATATATTGAATATATCTTCCAAACAGTTATTAACAGACTTCTTTAAAAGAAAAAAAGACATGAATTTGGAGTTATGCAAATTTGGTGGAACTTCATTTAAAATTAATTTGCAAATCAGAGGAACAAAGAGCAATGTTCATGATTCTTGCTTTGTGATTTTTTTTTTAGTAATACTAAAAGTTATGAAGTCGTTTGTAACATGCACACTTTAAATTTTTCAAAACATCTTTATATCTTTTTTTTAAAGATTTTATTTATTTATTTGACAGAGAGAGACACAGCCAGAGAGGGAACACAAGCAGGGGGAGCGGGAGAGGGAGAAGCAGGCTTCCCGCCGAGCAGGGAGCCCGATGCGGGGCCTGATCCCAGGACCCGGGGACCACGACCCGAGCCGAAGGCAGACGCCCAACGACTGACCCCGGGGCCCCCTCCTAGTCACTTATCTTTTTTTTTTTGCTGGAACTTCAGACAAAATGGGCAAGGCATGTGTTATCTCCATTTTGCAGATTAAGAAAAGAGAGGCCTCGAGATAAGTGACTTGTCCATGTTTACTTAGATAATAGGTCCACAAGGTTTCCACCACCCCACCCTTTGCCCGCAGAGCGTTGCAGCGCCATGCGCCAGCCCCTCCAGCGCGCTAAGTGAGACCCAAAGAACAGCACCATTCATAGATCAGTTCCTTTGGGAGTTAATCATGACATCTGTGATCACAGAAAATTGTTTTTAAACACATAATATTCATTTCTATATGTCTTCTGCCAGAACAGGGTTAACTACTTAATGTGGGACCAGTGCAAAATGAAAGCATTGGGCCTCTCGTCCAAAAAGCAGGAAAAAAAGTGACTTTAAACGTGCCAAAATATAAAGCTCTTCCCTTCCTTCTGTGGTTTCTCTCTCAACTTGTCGTGGTGATTTTTATTTGCTATTTAATGTCATTTTAAGTAAAGAGAAATCAAATTTTTAAATCATTTGCATGAGTTTTACCATGCATCTACAGATTGTACAATG